TAATGTACATTACCCATAAAAATTCATTTTTAGATTTTCTCCGAACTTTAAAAAAGGCCTTTTAAAAGGGAAATAAAAAGAATGTAATATTTTAATAAGTTTAAAAATCATCGAAGGAACAGTGAAAAACTTTTGGTTATTCATGGATTATATCAACGTGTAACTATTTTTAAAAGGGCCAGGAATTTTCTGTTTATCGGGAAATATAAGACATTACTGTGACTGTATTCGCACCTGTAGGTTTAGGGTTGTAAGGTCAGTTACCAAGAATCTGCTTCTTTCCTATTACATACTAACGTAGTTAGGCCAAGTTGCCAATAGAGTATTATAACCTCATGATCCAAATGACTATACTTCTAACTTGGGAGGCAGAAGGATTGTTTGAGCCCAGGAATTTGAGAGTAGCCTGGGCAATATAGCAAGACCCCAACTCAATAAATAAATAAGTAAAATGGTAAATGGCTATGCTTCTTGGAAGTATGAGTATCTAAATTATCTGGACATACTTCTTTTTAAGTCTTTTTTCCCAAACATAGCATCCTTTTTTAGGGGTGTGGAGGAGAAGGTAAGGGAGTTGGGCATAAATATGAAACAGATTAATCAAGTAATTATTCAAATGTACAATTTAAAGAAATATAAATTCCTCAGTATAGTTTGTTATAGTTCCTGTTATAATTTGTTGCAGTCTTTTTTTAAAAAAGATACATAATATTTTACATATTTATAGGGTACATGTGATATCTTGTTACATGCATAGAATGTATCATGATCGAGTTAGGGTATCTGAGGTATTTGTCACCTTGAGTAATTATCATTTCCATGTGTTGGGAACATTTTAAGTTCTCTTTTGTAGCTACTTTGAAATATGCAATACATTGTTGCTAACTATAGTCACCCTATTGTGGTTTAAACAATAGAACTTACGACTTCTAACTGATGACTTCCCATTGACCATCCTCTCTTCATCCCCTTAGCCTCCTACCCACACACACTTCCCAGCCTCCAGCAGCCATTATTATTCTACTCTCTAACTCCATGGGATCAACTTTTTTAGCTCCCATATATGAGTGAAAACATGCAAAATTTGTCTTTCTTTGTCTGGTTTATTTCACCTAACAATGACCTCCAGTTCTCTCCATATTGCTGCAATAGACATGATTTCATTCTTCTTTATGGCCGAGTAGTACTCCATCGTGTATATGTACCACATTTTCTCTGTCCCTTCATCTATTGACGGATACTTAGGTTGATTTCATGTCTTTACTATTGTGAATAGCACTGTCTGCAGTCTGTTTTGTCCAGGTTTTTGTAAATAGAATCTGTTAGCTCATTCCGAACATTAACGCTGTAAAACCTTCCCAGGGACACAGTACAATTCTTGTTCTTTAAAATTCAGACCAATTTCGTAGTAAAATGTTTGTCTGTCCATTTCTCTCTAGCGAGGAAGACATAATTAGCCACCTGTTGATACTTATTCAGAGGTCAGGTATTCGAGTACTTCCCTAGCTCTGAGAATACTTGTTGCAAGAGGATCGTTTGAACCCAGGAATTAGAGGTTGCGGTGAGCTACGATCATGCCACTGCACTCTAGCCGGGGTGACAGAGTGAGACCCTGTCTCTAAATCAAAACAAAACAAAAACAAAAAACAAAAATAAAAACTTAAATTATAAAGTATCTCAGAGCTACCAGAAACATTATACTTAAAATGATTAAAGCAAAAATACAGTTGTTAAAATAAATACAAGAAACCCTGGGAGACTTTTAAATAGATAATTTTGGACTAGGAAAAGCCTTTCTAAGTATGGCAAAACTCAGAAGTCTAGAAAAACAATAATTTCAGTTAAATTTTAAAAAGTCTGTATGGCAAAGACCATGATAAAGTAAAAGGAAAACAAACTGGGGGGAATATCTGAAAGTCACAAATGGCCAATTACCCTAATGTATAAAAAGCTCCTAGAAATCAAGAAGAAAATGGCCACTAACCCAACAGAAAACTGGGCAAAGGACATAAATAGTGTACAAACAGTAAAATACAGACGCTTCTTAATCATAAGAAAAAACTTTAACTCACATAAGGAAAATTCCAGGTAAAGCTACACTGAGATACCATTTTTCACCAGTCACATTGACAAAGATCAGAAAGTTTGCTAATGCTTTTAATAACATTATTAGTGTCTCCGTAATTTTTTCACTGTCTCTGGGCCAAAAGAAATCCCTAACAGTTCTATTTATTAGCCAGTTAGTACTAAATAATTTAATGAAAATACTCATTAAGTTTATTATCCTGTTAGCCATTTGAAAAAATAACACACATAAGTTGAAAGAAAATAATATTTGCAGTGCATTCTTAAATGACAGTTAATAATGGAGGTGTGTGCCATGGGACACTGTACAACTACTTAAACCTGGGAATTAGATTAGACACAGTAATCCTCATTTCCAGTTCTATACTGATTTTCGTGTGGTACTAGGCTTTATCACAGGAACCATCAAAAACCTAACTTTGTAAAGATTTATGTCATCGAAAGGAATATATTGTGACCTAATGTTGAAAATGGGAACTACCTTGAATGAGTGGTTCTAGCTTATAGCAGCATCTGTCATGCAGCATCTGACAGATATCACTGTATTTCCCTCAAAATTTTTAAATATGCTGATGCACCCCTGTGCATTCATTGTAGCACTTCTGGGGCACCTGGGTGTGCAGTTTGGGAACTGTAGAAATAGCCTTCACATTGCTGCTGGTGGGAGTATAAAATAAAATGCCTGTGGCCTTTATGGGAAGGTGGGAAATTTGCCAGCGTTTATCAAAATTATACATGTGTGTATGCTTCAACCCAGCAGGCCCACTTACGGAAACTGTATTCTGTATTCTTCCACAATATCTATGAATGAAAAATTACCTTAGCCTTTATAGTATTATTTAGTGTAGCAAAACGTTAGAAACAACTTAAATGTCCATAAATAGCGGCCTAGTTAAATAGATGATGGTACATCCGTACAATGAAATAATATAGCTATTTAGAATAGTAGAAACTCTGAGAGTCAATATGAAATGACTATAAAGTATATCAAATGATAAAAGCTATTTTCATGGTATGCTGCTGTATCTTATGTAAAAAGAGGGAAATATATATACACACACAGAGTGTCTTTTTGTTCCTTTTGAATTTAGAACTATGTAGAGTGTATTATTTTTTCAAAAATACGTTAAAACTTAAAAAGTAAATTAGTAGAAACAAAATTTAATATAAAGTTTCAACACTAACAGTTATGAATTTATTTCATCAATATAATATTAATGCTAAATAATTTTTAGGACTGAAATTATATTCTAGTATCTAATGAAGACTCAAGATTGGATTTTATTTTCCTTGACTAGGTTCTATGGTTACAAAGATTGGATGTTTAACACTTTAATGTTTTGTTTTGTTTTTAGGATTTAGAAAACTACATATTGGAACTTATCCCTACTTTGCCACAATTAGATGGGCTGGAAAAATCCTTTTACTCCTTTTATGTTTGTACGGCAGTTAGGA